CATTTGGGTAAATGCCCAAAAGTGGATTGCTGGGTCATAGGGGAGCTCTATGTGGAGTCTTTTGAGGAACCTCCATACTGCTTTCCAAAGTAGTTGAACAAGTTTACACTCCCACCAACAATGCAGTAAGATTCCTTTCTGTTCTCATCCCCTCCAGCATCTGTTCTTATTACAGTTCTTGATTATAGCCATTCTAACTGGTGGAATCTTAATGCTGTTTTGATTTGCATTTCTTTTATGGCTAGAGAGGTTGAACATTTCTTCCTATGTCTACTGGCCATTCTTATTTCCTCTTCAGAGAAAGTTCTCTTTAAGTCTTTAGCCCACTTATTTAATGAGCAGTTGTTTCTTTGAGGATGTGGTTAATTTTTGGAGCTCCAAGTATACTTTAGATATGAGACTCTTATCTGTTGTTTGGCTAGTGAAGATCTTCTCCCAATCCATGGGCTTTCTATTGATCTTGCTAGCTATGTCCTTTGCCAGGCAGAAGCTCTGCAATTTCATGCAATCCCATTTGTCCAACCTTTCTTGTATTTGTTGTGTTTCTGGGTCTCTATTAAGAAAATTTCGGCCTGTGCCAAGGAGACCTGGGGTTTCTCCTCTTCCATCCTGTAATGTTTTCAGAGTGTCTGCTTTGACTCAGAGGTGTTTGATCTATTTGGGGTTGATTCTGGTGCAGGGTGCTATATTAGGATCTAACTTTAGTTTTCTACAGGTGATTAACCAATTTTGCCAGCACCATTTACTGAAGAGGCTGTTCTACTTCCATTCTATTTTTTTAGCTCCCTTATTGAAGATTAGATGGCAAAAGATCTGTGGGTTAATTTCTGGGTTTTCAGTTCTATTGCATTAGTCCTGAGGTCTGTTCTTGTTCCAGTACCAAGCTGTTTTGATTACTATGGCATTGTAGTAGAGTTTGAAATTTGGTATTGATATTCCTCCAGCAGTGTTCATTCTGTTGAGGAACGTTTTTGCTATTCAGGGTCTTTTATTGTTCCATATGAATTTTTAGATTGCCTCTTCTATTTCCTTGAAGAATGAGGTTGGAATATTGATAGACATCACATTGAATTTGTAGATAGTCTTGGGAAGTATTGCCATTTTCACGATGTTGATCCTTCCAATCCAGGAGCATGGGAGTTTTTGCCACTTTCTAAGTTCTGTTTTGATTTCCTTTTTATGGTTTTTAAAGTTTTCATCATAGAAGTCCTTCATTTCTTTGGTTAAGTTAATTCCTAGGTATTTTATATTTTGTGGGGCTATTAGGAATGGAGT